GAAAGATATTTGAAAATGTTTCATTACTCTTCCATATATCCCATATTATGAAATGCATCAGTCCATCGTTTTACAATGATGTTCACAAAGAAACCAAGTATGAATTCAAGAGGAATATATCTCATATGATTGTCCATGTTCATTGTGATCGTTCGAAAAATCCTGTAATCATGCGATGGGGACATTGATTTTGATTATTATGATCATTAAGAGAGTTCAATGGAGAATCATTCTCAGCTAATAACACAGGTTTGAGTACAGGTAAACCCTGAGTCAAATTAAGGACAAGAATGTAGTTTGTAGACTGAGGTTATTGGGGACTTAAGACTAATCGTAAGCATAGCATGTGATTCAATCATTTGGATTCATCTATTTGAATCTGCTTACTTCCCCTTCTATTAACGATTCAAAAATTGTGTCCAGCTTACGGACGTATGTTCGTCTTCGAAGTCTGAATCATCATGTTTAAATATGCAATTCACCTACTTCTGGTGGTCATCACTCAGCAAATAGTAATAGATCAATGCAATTGTTTCATAGAGAATGGTCCAATAGATCAGCTCAACAGTGACTTGTTTCCAAACGCTTCCTCTCCATCGGAATACGATCCGAAAAAAGTTCAGAATTGATGTCGATGCAACTAAATGATGATACTGGATTGTCATCTTGTTTTGCACCTGTAATTACGTTCGAGGAGTAACCATAAACTATCTGCTAGGAATGGCCATCAAAATTACATCCGGAGTAGACAATAAAGTGATGAAATTATAAGAAAGAGCACAATTGCTCGAAGCTTTCCCCATTTATAAGGCGAATGGCGGTAACAGATAAATCAAAACACTGACGTTGACAAAAGATAAGCAATAAGAAGAATATTCTTCACTGCGCAGGTAATCAATTCTTGATCAATAAACATAAGCTTAGAAAAAATTCACTAATGTGGATAATCTCGAATTAATTGATTCATTTACTAACTGAATCACATGAATGGCGCACAATCAAATCCTACTGAACACAGTCAGGCGGTGAATGAAAACGAACGAGCAAGTTCATCAATGAATCGTAAATCAAATCGTTTTGATTCGTCATCAAACGCTTTCAGTGATGAATAATCTTCAGAATAATCATTTTCATTGAGATACATTCAGTTTTTTAATGGCTACCGATCACACTCTCCCAAAAACACTTCCTTCGAAACAATCAATTCAATTCAACTCGAATGCGTTGAAAAGGAATGCGATTCATGAATTGATTTAAGGGTGCATTTCGTTGTTGTTGATGAGAAAAATAATGAAGGGCAGTGCTGGTGAATTCGAAAAACTAGAAAAATGAATTCACTAAATCAGCAGTCATTATTTGCAATCATTGTACAGCAAAACGTTTCATCCAAAAATACTTTCCATATTCATTTATCAGTCACTGCACTCAGAAATAATAATATTCACAAATGCTGTTCTTTTCATGAAGTAACTGAAAACTTAATCATATTCAAGAAGGCTTACAATCATAGTATAATCTTTATCTTTTTGAAGATGGGACTGCGGGAAGGAGAAAAACAGAATTATTCGATTTATTGAAGTAACTTCTCGTCATCAAATCGAAAATAAAACAAAAACAAGAACGACCTTGCTCTGAATAATTACAAAACAATAGCATCAATCAATAAAAATATACCATAATTATGATACCAACAATACGAATAATCTCAAAATAACTATCATAACAAACAAAATCAATGAGTAATAGGTGATTAAGAAGAAATAGCAATAAAAATGTTTACAAAATACAACAATACCCCATGTAACGATGAGCGAGTGAAGAATAAGAATGAGATAACACTTAGAATTTGAGTCCGCAACTTCGAAAAGTGTGTACGAAGCGTATAATCTCGTCAAGGTTACAAAATCGAGCGTAACACTAACAAACTATCAACATTACAAGAAGTACGCGAAAATAACTTGATATCATCGTAACATTTCAAACAGAAAACTCTACAGCTAAAATCGAGAAATAAAAAACAGAATCACTTGAAATCTGTCCTTTAAAGACGTCAGTAGTGTGCTCGGATCCTTATTATTCATCGGCATCTCAAAAAGAATTGAGCAGAGTGAAATCTGATCGGGCAACTTATAATATGCAACGAACGGATGCGAAAATGCAGTTCTGAGGAAAAGTAGTATGATGTATGATCAGGGTGAGCAGTATACGTGACACTGCAACTGAGAACAGGTGCACTGATCATTGTTGCGATGAGAAATAATTTAATGCGAAATCAAGATTCATCACAGCAGTTTTGAGCGAATATTCATTCACAAACGTTCAGCAACGATTCAACACAAAAACAATTTCCATAACGATT